AAAATAAACCACCAAAATACTTTACAATAAAAGTTACAACAACAATTTCTACAAAAGTGCCTAATGTTTTTAACTATGAATTTTAAAAATTTATAAAAATAAATAAATATTAATGAAAATAAATAACCAATTTCAGTTAAACTAACCCAAATTCTCAATAAAATAGTTAATGTTAAATTTTTAAATATATATATTATTGTATTTAAAGTTAAAATAAAAAAAAGTATTTCAAAAAAATAAAGAATAAATCTTTCGTTTGAAAGTATACAAACAATATTTGTTTCTTTAATATAGCAACAAGTATTCTAAAAATAATAAGTATGAAAACTTTCAAGAATAAGTTTACACCATAGTACTATTTTCTAAATATATAATTTATCGGTTTTTTTTGTTGATAAAAATTTTTCAAGTTCATTTTTAAATAATGAAAAATAATTAATTAAAGTTGAAAGTTTTTTAATTTCAGTTTGAAGTTTATATTTAGAAATAGCAATTGATGTTGTTGCATTATTTTCTTTTAAGTTCTTTATTTCTATTAAAAGTTGTTTGTTTGTAAGACTTAAATCTTTATTTTCTATTTGTAATTGTATATAATTAGAGTTTTGATAAGCTAAAAGTTGACTTTTTAGTTCTTCAATTTCATCTTGTAGTTCTCTATTAATATTTGTTAAGTTATTATTTTTAATTTTAAGGTCATTGTTTATTTTATTCAGATTAATTAATCTTTTTGATAAAGAAGTTGTCATCATTTTTATTTATTAAAAAAAAGTAAAGAATAAAAACAATATTTATATAAAAATTAAAAATAAAATTTATAAAAAAAAACAGATAAATTTGAAAATCTAATAATAGAACCTATAATACCAATCATTATTTTATCAAAGTTATATAAGATTTGTTCTTTTATTTCATCAGGAATATAATCGATAAATTTTTCTCTGTATTTTTCAATAAGTTTTTGAATTTTATCAATAAGTTCTTTAACCTGAATATCTGTAAGTTTACTAACTAATTCTTTTATTTTATCAAATACAATTGATTGCTTTTTCATTCCTAGTTTATCATGAACAGTATCTTTCAATAAAGGATTTTTAATATGTTCTTTTAAATATAGTTCGATTTTATTTTCTTTGAATTCATTTTTACAAATTGGATAACTGATAAAATTAATCGTTGGAGTTGATAAAGTTGTTGTTATAGGTGTTGGTTTTACAGAAGAAGGTTTAATAGTTGTTGTTGCTGAAGTTGTTAGTTTACTTGTTGTTTCTGTTGTTAAAATTTTTGGAAAATTAGTTGGTCTTGATGGAAGTATATTAATTGTTATTGTAGGTGTATTAATAGATGTAGTAGATAGAGTATTAATTGTTGTTGTTGGAATATTAATTGTTGTAGTTGGAGTATTAATTGTTGTTGTAGGTAGTTGTCTATTATTATCATCTTCAGGTGGAGGAATTAGTGTTGGATTTTGGTTATCTGTATTTTTTTTAAAATATTAATTAATTAAATAATTAAAAAAAAACATAAATAATAAACTATTTACTTTTTCTTTCTTTGTTCTTCATCTTGTTCATCAAGTTTTCATTTTAAATCTGCAATTTGATCTCTTAATCTTGTAATAGCCAAAGCAGAATTTTGATTAAGATCAATCTATCTATATGTTTGATTAAATTCTAATACTGTAGCACAAGGTCTTCTTAAATGACCATCTTTACGTGAAGGAGCAAAAGCAGCTCCAAGATTATATCTAGATGTTTCATCAGTATCACTTATATATTTTAAATATCTTAATGATTCATTAATATCTGATACAGTTATAAACCAGAAGAATCCTGTATTAAATTGAACAAATGCACTTCCTTGTATATTAGATTGTTGAGTAATATACAATTGTTTTTCTATCTTTCATCTAAAACAAAATATTTTTTCATAATCACATTTTGAACATTCTATTTGTTCAATTTGTTTATATATAATATTATAATTTTATTTAATTGAACTGTTAATTAAATTATTAATATTTTCAAATACATTTTCTATTGCTAAGTGGCTATTATTTGGTACTGTTGCTTGACTAATAGGTAATTCGCAACTAGTTACTACTTGAAGAATTAATGCTCTAATATTAAAAGTTTTTCTAATTAAATTAATTGTATATGTATTATCAACATCTTGACCTTTTTGTGCTTAAGCTAATAGAAATACATATCTTAAAAATCCTGTACTATCACCAGAGGATTGAGTTGAATCAACTGTTGAATTTCCATAACCAAAGATATTTAATCTTAAAATTTGATAGAAATCTAACATAAATTTACTTGTTGTATTATTATTAAAATTTATATCTTGAAATATTAAAAAAGATACATAATAAAGTTGAGGCTATCTGAGTAAAATATCTTGTGTATTTGATGTTAATGCAGGTATCACAATATTAACTCTATTATTTCTTCTTTGAATAAATGAATTATATTTTGCTTGTTCAGCTGAATAAGTTTTTACTCCACAGATATTTTCAAGTTCGGTTAATTCTTCACCTATTGTTAGACAAAAACTTACTTGTAGTCTAGTCATTTTATTCTAATCCTATTGTAAAAATATTTTTATTCGTAGCAGAAAAGCAACAGGTACAACTTGAACTACAGGGTCCTGGTTCACTAGTATAGCAACACCTGCAACTATTTTTTTTTTTTTTTCGGCATGTCTTGCTACTGTTTTTATTAAAACATTAACTAAGTAAAAAATTACAAGAATTCTTAACTATAGTTATTTCTTTGACCACAACAAGTAACTCACTTGACTTAAAAACCCAAGTGCGATATCACCTAGTGGCTGTTTATCTCCTTCCGGGCCTCTAACTTACTAGAGACATGAATTCTTCGATCATTGGTCAGTGCCACATGCCGTATCAGTATCATTTTTTCTTTTTACAAATTGAAGTACAGACACAAAAACAAAGAGCAAAAAAGAAAAAAAAAAGAGATGATACCTTGATATCCAAATTCGATCTATCTAAACAACAAAAAAATCAAAATAGTATATATAGAAGAAACAAAACAAAATAAAAGAAAGAAAACAAAGATAGCACTATTAAACTCATGCCGGATTGTAAAAATTATATAGTACTACTAAATAAACTAGTCTAAACTTTATGCTAGTTATTTATGTCTATATTAGGATATATAAAATATCCATTCTTAAATAGAGATCCAAGTTTGAAATTTCTTTTGCAGTTCTACCGGGTTTTCGGCGTGGTCTTCTGCAACGCATTTACGTGCTTGATATAGCTTGTATCTGGGCAAAGTTAGCATACTAGGGTGCTCGGTGTAAATACCGTAACCTCTTGAAGAAACCGGTAATACATTATTCATCCCAAAATAGCTATGTACTCCTGTATGTGACTTTTCTTTTTCGGCAGTGATTGTTTTGTCGATCTTTTGATGGGGTATGCTAGATTTTCCACTTTTTGTCGAAATTTCGTAAAGAACATAAAGTGGGTTTTGGTAGAGGGTTTCATTTTGCAGGTGACCTTAAACTTCGATAGGGAGTGTGTTGAAAACTTGCTTGTTGTTTCCCTTTAGACCAACTAACTTTCACTTCGTCAGCAGAAGTCTGCACTTCTATTAAAATTTTTTTATACAAGGGCACCACCTCCTGCCAGTTATCTTGTACAAGAATGCTTTTAACTTGTATGCTAAATATACAGAGGAGTCCGGAAGAAGACAGTAACGAAGAACGGAAACCTTGACCTCTGTAAAAACTGTTACTTGTAGTTGTCTCTTCTACTTTTTCTAACAAGTTTTCCATTTTCGTTAGTCGAAAATTTGGTACGAGTGATTATCAAGAAGAGTTGCATGAACATCTGCAACTATTATTACAATTTTTATTTTTTTCTATTATATTTTTTTTAATTATTGGTGTTACTATTTTTGTTGTTTTGGTTGTCTTTTTTTTAGATTTTGTTTTTTTTGTTGTTGTTGGTTTAGTTGTTTTTTTAGTTGTTTTTTTTTAGGTTTAGTAACCATTTTTTTTTTTTGTTTAATTGAAGCCACTTTTATTGATATTGCTCAACAAATTAAATAAAAAAAGTAATAGCTTTTGTGATTATGGTTGATAAAATTTGTTTGAGACCTAAGATTGAAATAAATTCAAAAATTTCTTTATAGAAATGTGCAGTACAAAAGATTATTATAGATAAAACAATGATAATTTCTAATAAAATTATAATGAATAAAAAATCATATAGATTTGATTTATCTATACAGAACAGAAAAAAATTCTTAATGATTCTATTTATATTTTTTTGTATAAATAGTTAAATTCTACGTTTGAAATTAGTAGTTAAAAATGCGAGTTTATTTTTTTGTTCTATTTTTGTTAACATTATTAACAATTGGTGAAACAAGAATACCAAGATATATTAAAAGTGAAAGACCACAAAAAAAATATATTTGAAAATGTGGATGTAAATTATAAAATTTTTTATTATTTATTGATAATATATTTGATTTTTATTACTTGTGATTTATGTACTACGAGAATGAGAAGAAGAATTGGTAGAATTAAACAACTAAAAAGAGTTGAAAGATCAAGAATTTGAAGAAATAATACAGTAATTATACCACCAATACCAAAGGTCCATGTTATGCTAAAACATCTGTATTAGCTCTACCAGATAGTATAATTGATAAATTGGTAACTTGAAGAGCAAGAAAATATCAAGATGTATTAAATAAAAATAGAAAGATTACAAATCAATATAAAGGGAGCCTTTATGTTGAGAGAATTGGAAGAAATAGACAAGTACGATATTCTTTAGTTCATAAATTAATTGAAATATTACCAACACCAAGATCTAGATCATCAACTCCTAATTAATCATGAATTCAATATCCTCTCAAGTTAATTATATAAAAAATTTTTTAGTTAATAGTAATAATACAAATAATAATTTAAATCAAAGATTAGTTAGGATTAGAAATACAAAGTATAACAACTTTAACTACTAGTAGACAAATTGATGAAATTCTTAAAGTATTACAAGATATTCAAAATATTGGATAGTACAATAAATATGCATAACTATGAAATTACTAAATAAAGTAAATTGATAATATGTATATAATTTATTATTTATATTAATTTAATAATATATTTTAAATAAATCAAGTACTTTATAAATTTATATTGTTAAAATAACAATAAAAGAACATAGAATTTCCTTCGTAATCATTGTGTTTATCACTTTAAATTTTGTTTATTTAAATAAAATTTTTAACAAATATTATAACTTCAATACTTGAAATTACAACTTTATATAAATTTTAAAAATGTTTTATAAAATCTTTTTCATTACTCTTGCGTTTATGGTCCTTTTAGGACTATTCTTTACACATCTTTTTGCTGTGAATATCAAAGTGATATTTACTATATTATTTAAAAACTTTATTATTCAGATCCTTTCTTTTTTATTTCTGTAGTTATTATTAATATAATGATTACTATTATAATAAATGCACTTTATCAATTTTGGTTCTGGAATACTTTAATAGAAAAGTTTCCAAAACAGTTTATTTTTTAACATATAGTTTTATATGTTGCATATTTTTACTTTTGTTATTTTTTCATTATCACCTCTACCATGATGGATTTCTAAATATTTAGTAGACCCAGGTCCAGAAGATTCCAAGAATGCATGCTGTGAAAGAAATTTGAGTTGGAAAGGGTTATTAAGAAAGTGAATAATTAAGAATTTCAGTTGTTACTTGGGTAGGGTAGAAATAGTAAAATAGTTTTATTGTAATTGTATTTTTTTTTATATAGTGTTAATTTAAAAATAAAATAAAATATTAGAAAAAAAAAACAAATATTTTATATATTAAAATATTTATTAAGTCGACAATAATTATTTAATATATAAAATATTTGTTTTTTTTTAATATATTCTATTTTAATTTTAAATTAATACTATATAAAAAATATTATTACGATAAATTTTAATATATATTTAGTTAAAAGAAATTTATAACTCAGTAGTTTAATAAATAATAAAATATATAAACTTGAATATTTGTTTAAATAAAATATATATAAATTCAAATATTTGCAAAAAAAATGAACAAAGTTTGTTATTGGTGTCAATTAAAGAAAAAATCTTGTAAATATCATAAAATGCAAAACCTCCATGTTGAAAAGAATTTTTTACAAAACAAAGAAAATACGTTTTATCAGCATATCAAAATTGGCAAATAAAAAAATTAAAATATAATAAAGAAAGACTATTTATTAGTTAAACATATTTTAAATTGATTTCTAAAGTAACAAAATTGTCTTGGGTTCTTAACATAATTGTAATAATTTATTATAAATAAAGTTTATTTTTTTAAACAAGTAAGAAATACTTCCCAGAGATTTTGTTTGTATTTACAATGCTAACTATATTCTTTAAGATATGGTTTAATAATTCCAATTCTTCTTTTATCTTTTGGAATTGATAATTTTAAAGTATTCCAAGTACTTTCTATTGTATTTGTATGAATTCTTCTAATTTTTGTTGTTGAGATATTCATTTCGAATGATTAATTTGAATATATTTAATATTTAATTCATCAAGATTATTATAATCTTTCTAACAATCACTATATACTGTAGAACCAGGTCTTATATGTCTTTTAATAAATTTAAAAAGAGTTGAATAATTATGATTTTTAACAACTTCAAAATAACATTTCTTATTACTAGTTCTTTTAGTAATTCCTACAACCA